ATGTAGAAAAAACAGAGTCTCTTATGTCCAACTCGTCACCTCTTCAACGAAATGAACTGATGCCCCCGCTAGAAAGATTCACGAACCATGTCAGAGCAAGACCTCAATGCCGTGGCGAATCCCCGACACATATATCGATATACATGCCTCTCTATGTTCAGGTCTAACGGATATGAGGTTCCGTCGAATAGTTCAATGCTTGACACGTCAAATTTCTTCGACATCTCGACATAGATGATTGAATAGTTGAAAGACGATTCGTTATAACATGCTTGAGATGCAACATCAAATGGAGGAGGGATTGACAATTTGACATGGACACACCAAATACTGATTTCACTCAACAATTCAAATGTCAAAGTTCGGAATTTTGAAAAAATGTTAGTTGATTGACCAAATCAATAATAGAAATGATTCTGAACCCCTATCCCGAAAATTCAACTTTTTAAGAGATTGACCAAATCAGCGAAGAGTTGTGCATTAAATGTTCATATAAAACTCTAAAACTAAATTAATTTGTTTGTTTTACTCCAATTAATGAACATTTTGCACTTATACATTAAAATTTAATAAAGAGTAAAGGAGACGATCACCTAGTAAAATGAGGCAGTGAGCTCTATCGCGCTCTACGTACGCGAACAAATTTTATTGGATAAGAATGGACTTCAAGGAGTCTGGTTCCCAAACTCGCAGATGCCCACCATAACAGAACAATCAATCCAGTCACGAGTCCTATGGTCAGACATAGATTCAATAACACTCAAAAAAGTGCAATGAGTCACTAACATTAAAACGGACAACGTAAAGCCTATAGTGACTAAACTGACATTCCCCGATTTAACCTAATAAACTCTTGCCCCCAACCCAAAACACACCCAACAATCCAGTAGAACATACACCAACCCCAAGTAACAATATAAATACAGACAAACAGTATGAAAACTCATTTCTGTACCTTGTCTAGGCAATCTAAAAATGCCCAGTTATTGCAGATTTGCAACCATCGTGGCTTGAATTATCTTGCCATGTGAAAACTCAATGTTGCGCCTCAACGGTAATGTTTTCTCCAAATTCCTTATAAAAAACTGTCAATGACTGGGAATACCAAATGTCATTAGAAAAGAATGAGGCTAGATACAAATAGTGTACCGGAATGAAATGCATAAACTATGTGCTAAATTTTCATTTTAGTATTGTAATTTGAGATCATTTATTCAAAAGTCTACTTCAATGTGCATATTTTTTTTTATCCATACGGTATTTTGCGTATTTTAAATGAAGATAGGTTTTATGTACCATTCAATAGTTAAAGCATACCAAGAATGTAAACAAATATGTTTTAACTGATGAATGTTGAAGTATCGTTTATATGACTTATGCCATCTAAATCGAAGATATGTCTACGTTATTCTCATTAATACATACTCCCTCCATCCCGGTCATTTCTTCCAACTTTCCTTTTTGGGTCGTCCCAATTAATTCTTCCAACTTCCACTTTTGGAAAAAAGATTTGGTTCACAGACATTCACCTTTTTCTTACACAACTATAACCATACATTTTGACTTTATCCCCCCTTTCTAAATTTGCGAGCCAAGTAAAACTTGGAAGAAATGACCGAGACAAAGGGAGTATTTGACATATAAGGAGAGGTTTTGGACTCACACCTTCAAGGTTCGATGTATAAACTAGCTGAATAATACTCCCTCCGTCCCTTATAACTTTGTCAACTTTCCTTTTTTGGATGTCCCATTAACTTTGCCACTTTCCCTTTTAAGTAAAAAATTTATGGTTTCAGTAAATTCTCTCTCCTCTGCACAAACTTCAACCACACAGTTTTTGTATCCCGAAGTGAAGAAAGGTATACGAAGCACAGATGTTGTATTTCATGAAAACGAGTTTCATGAGTGTGCTCCAATAATCCGCAAATAACATACTCCAGAAGAAGAAGTCCCTGTATCATCAAACATTCCTCTCAGCGACGAGGAGATGTATGATACTACTGAGCGAGGGAGTGATGGTTCAGTAGGTAATGATGATGATCACAGTGATTTTCCTCAGCAGGGGGAGCCTTCATCTGAAGACGAAGCTGAAGGTACTCATGTTCGACTTTCTATGCGAGGCATAGTTCCACAGAGAAAATACTCCACATGCGAATGGATACTTGTTGCCAGAGAGGGGGAGCCGGCGAGCATCGCAGGAACGAGAGAAATAAAGAAAAAGGTGGAGGGGGGGGGGGGGGATTTGTAGGGATCTTCCACCTTCTTTCTTGGAAGTTACCAAGAGACATATAACACCTTCTAGGAAGGAGCCATCCAACATTGAGGTACTTCCACATCCTTTCATGGAAGTTATTTGGAGATAGCTAGGAAACTCCTTAGCAATGAGAATGGAAGTTAGGATGCAACTTTTCCCATATACACTTATAAATAGGGAGTGTATTGTTGTTCATTATCATCAGTTTAGAAAGTGAGAAAAGTGTGTGAAGAGTGAAATACGCTTAGAGTAGGAGTGTATTGGTGAGGATTGGTTTTTTTGTAATAGTTGAGTGAGAGAGTTTGCTCCTCCTATTGTAATTCTGTTCTTGATGTTGAATAGAAGAATTTTTCAATCCCAACACCACATGCGAACTGGCAAACCACCATTGAAAACTACAACAAAGTTCAGTTTATATGAAGAGGTGTGAGGTGGTATCCAACTGACTATGGCTGGCCGTGTCGTGGGTAGGATAGGAGTTGGAATAAAACTTGTATTCAGAATGTCTATTTTATTCCTGTTGTACTTAAGTTCTGTATTTAAATTGACTTGTCTCTTTTATGCCCAGCTAAGACTATGATGGTTTAATATATGGGTGATCTCAGCAAACAAAATCCCACTAGAGTTCCCCTAAAGACATCACATTATCACACAACATATTGGCGCAACATATTTTTATTCTAAAGACATTGCCCCTGTATATGATAACTATATAAACTTTGTCAAATTTTTAATCTATTGAAGATCTTTTTTAATAGAATCATGTAAACGGTAACTTTATATTGCAGAAAATCATTAATTTAGATTCTTTTTCACAATGGTTACTATATTCTCAAAACATTTAAAAATCACAAATTACGCATCTTTTTGTTAGATACTATATGGGGCTTTGACAAATCTTAATCACATCTCTTTAAAAAATTGGACATTATCCTTTCGCGCAACGTGCATTGTATAACTAGAACTTCGTATAATAATAGTGTTCCAAAAACTTTATAGCCCGGCCTGTTTCTTGCCCACATTATTTGTACATATTTTGTATATGCACAAACAACTTTTTAATAAAGTGTTACTACGTACTAATTTGTGGTTTTGTTTATTTATTTCTCTTCTCAACACCTCTCAATTTTATTCTTTGTAGTTTCTAATTCCATTTCACCCCTAATTTTTAAACAGGTTTACGTAATGTATGAATTGACCAAACGGATTCAAAGAATAAACTAGGATTACGTACAAAAATTGAAAAATATTAAGAAATAAGAATATATTAATGACCATTGTGTGTGTATCTACGTGTTTTCAAAATGATCGTGCCGTCACTTCCCCAACAAAGTGATGGAACCTGAGATCCTGGAAATCATGTTGCACAATATGTGTTTAACATTTGAGAGCTTATGCTATTTAAAGTAGAAAAAACAGAGTCTCTTATGTCCAACTCGTCACCTCTTCAACGCAATGAACTGATGCACCCGCTAGAAAGATTCACGAACCATTTCAGAGCAAGACCCGTCAATGTCGTGGCGAATCCCCAACACATATATCGATATACACGCCTCTCTCTGTTCAGGTCTAACGGAGACGGCTAACATCATTTTCTTGTATTGTGCATCTGGTTCTCTAGGATATGAGGTTCCGTCAAATAGTTCAATGCTTGACACGTCAAATTTCTTCGGAATCTCGACATAGGTGATTGAATAGTTGAAAGATGATTCGTTATAACATGCTTGAGATGCAACATCAAATGGAGGAGGGATTGACAATTTGACATGGGCACACCAAATACTGATTTCACTCGACAATTCAAATGTCAAAGTTCGGAATTTTGAAAAAAATGTTAGTTGATTGACCAAATCAATAATAGAAAGGATTCTGAACCCCTATCCCGACAATTCAATTTTGTAAGAGATTGACCAAATCACGGAAAAACTGTGCATTAAATGTTCATATAAAACTCTAAAACTAGCTTAATTTGTTTGTTTTACTCCGATTAATGAACATTTTGCACTTATACATTAAAATTTAATAAAGAGTAAAGGAGATGATCACCTAGTAAAATGAGGCAGTGAGCTCTATCGCGCTCTACATACGCGAACAAATTTTATTGGATAAGAAGGGACTTCAAGGAGTCCGGTTCCCAAACTCGTAGATGCCCACCACAACAGAACAATCAATCCAGTCACGAGTCCTATGGTCAGACATAGATTCAATAACACTCAATTAAGTGCAATGAGTCACTAACATCAAAACGGGCAACTTAAAGTCTATAGTGACTAAACTGACATTCCCTGATTTAACCTGCCCAAAACACACCCAACAATCCTGTAGAACATACACCAACCTCTAGTGACCTACTTTCTCCGTCCCGCTAGCAATGGACAAGAGGGAATGTCACGCAAATTAATAAAAAGTAGTTTATGTGGTTGATATTGAATTGATAAAGTAAAAATAAAGTAAGAATGATTTAGAGTCACACAAACTTTACCAAATTTAGTATGAGCCAATTTTACTGGGACGGACCAATAAAGTAAAATGAGACAATCGTAGTGGGAAGGAAGTAGTATTACACAATGTTATCCTACCCTTAGTGAACCAGTTCTTCAATGACCCCAAGTAGATGAAGAAGGGCCACGACAGACGACACGTGTGAGAAGACTCATGCATACGGTTTTAGAATCAGTATTGTGCGGTTCTAACTTCTAACTCACTAAAACTTGGATCTGGTTCCGGTTCGATTCAGAATTGGCTGCGGTTCGATTCGGAACTAGGACAGTTGGACACTATCCATGACCACTTTCGTACTAATTCCAAACAGCCCATACCCGGTCTAACTATCACCAGAAGAATGAAGACGTTTGGAGGACATTATCACCTATCCGCCACCGCTCTTGCCGGTGGGTCACGGCGGAAGTCACCGAGCCTTTCACCGTCCAATACTAATTCCAGTCTTTCTCCTGCGAGGTTATTCAATCTCTTTTGGCGCTTATCTTAGCTTAGATTAGATTTGTTGTTGTCGTTTGTGCTGTAAAGCTAAGCTTTCTGAACACCTAGTTAAAATTTTAAAACTGTGACAGACTTCCCAAGCCGGAAATCTCTATTCCATCGCTACCCGAGAATCGCATTGTTGTGCGTCATTTTCAAGCTCTTCCAACCGCTATCGTTTATTGTTCTCTCTATTTTGCCTTAGAAACATACAAATTTCAAATCTTTGGTGATCCGGCAGTTAGGTGTGGGAAGTACGTTGGTGGACTTCTTGGCTGCGGTGGCTTCTTATCCTAAGCCTGATGACAAAATTAGGAGCACCAGCTTTGAGGTTTTGATCGCCCTTCAGTTTAGTATACTTATATAAACAGCGGTGCTTGTGTAGTTGTGTTTTTCTTTTGTGAATAAAATATGAACATTTGTGTTGGTTGATAGGTCCAAGGAGGTGGGAATGCCGGGAATGCTTTGACTTGTGCAGCTCGACTAGGACTCGATCCTAGGATTATTTCTAAGGTCTTAAGTTCATTGAATTGTTATTTTCAAATGTGATGTTTTTGCTACTTGTAATCTGTAACGGAGCATTATCCTAGGATTATCTGTCTATTTATTGGCATCAGTCAATCCACTACCTTTATCTCTGGATTATTATTGTTGGAATACTAGGTCCAATAGAAAAATGTTGTAATGTTAGGTTCCTGATACTTTATTTAAAGCATTGGTTGGTTTCTGTATTTCAAATTTCAATGGTATTGTACTAGAAGTTGGTCCAGCAGGATCTCTTATTCTTGTTCACAGTTGTAGTTCCGTGACACGTGCTCTGGTGCCTTCAGTGCTTACCATTTCTTATGGTCTTCTTGAATAGGTTGCTAATGATTCACAAGGAAAAGGAATATTGGATGAACTTGATGAGGATGGTGTCGACACATCCTTTATGGTGGTAAGCTTCTTAACTGATAATACACATAGTGGTGTTCTGCTTTATAGTTCAAGGTTTTAAAAATCAAGACGCTGCAAAACTATGATGCACGGATTTGCATTTCAGGTGTCTAACGGAGGCAATTCACCATTCACATATGTCATTGTTGACAACCAAATGTGAGTGATTTTCCCCTACAAAACCACCCAAAATGATTGATAGACACACACTTGTGCTATCAATGATGGGGTAAGAGTTGGAAACTCTTACCAAGTTTTATTAAAATTATTGAAAAGTACAAACACTAATGACGGAAAAAAATTAGAGAACAAGTAAATATAGTGAACATAATAGTTGCAAAGGATAAAATAAAGAAATAAAGGCCCGCCAACGGATCTAATCGATGAAAACCCAATCAAAATGGCCGCCATCTCCTATCTTGGTAAATGCAAAAGAAGAATCCAAAAAACTCAATTTCCAAAAGGCCCCAGATCTTCCCCTGCAAGATACCAGAAACCCGGAATATAATTATCCTATTGTTCAACTACTGTTTCAATGGTACTTGTTATGAAGGCATTGGCCATAATGTGCACTCATTTGCACTCTAAACCTGTAGTGCTCACAAGCATATTATGAGTTTTTCATTCGGAAATTACTCCAAATAGGAGTAAAACTATGGCAAAAATCCAAAATAGGACTTGTTATGTTTTTATTCCAAAATAGGACCATATTACTCCTATTGGAAACATACCTATTTTTTCATTCCATTCTTACCCCTCCTTTAAATATGAGTAAAAGGTAGTCAAAATTTATAATTAAATGTTTAATTCATAATAAATTCGAATTTTTTTTAACAAATTGTAGAAAAATAATAAAAAAATTAATAAAATATTTATAAAATAAAAAAATTAAAAATATTTTTTTTTAAATTATTTTTTTAAAAAAAATAAAAAATAGTAAAACTCCATAAAAAATTATGGAGTTTTCCGCCTCCCACCTCTTGTACTGACTCCCTGCACCACCACCTCCGACCGGTGTAAAAATGCCATTTTTCCTGAAAATGTCAAAAAATGGCATATTACTCTTTGAGAATGCCAAAATGTTCATTGAATCTGCCATAAATATGTCATTCCTAATGCATGTGGTGCTGGGGCGGCAGAGGCAGCAGTGGTTTTTTTAGTGTTTTTTAGTTTTTTTTTTTAAAAATAATTTTTAATATTTTAAAATTTTTTAAATTAGATGCCTTTCCCACCGCTTGTACTGCTTCCCTGCACCACCACCTCCGACCGGTGTAAAAATGTCATTTTTTCTAAAAACTGTCATTTTTTTCTGAAAATGCCAAAAAATGGCATATTACTCTTTGAAAATGTCAAAATTTTCATTGAATCTGCCATAAATATGGTATTCGTAATGGATGTGGTAATTTTTTCCCCTGGTAACTGGAGGTGGTGGTGTTAAGGCTGTAGAGGCGGCGGTGTTTTTGTTTTTGCGTTTTTTATTTTTTAAAAAATATGTTTAATTTAAAAAAAAAAATCTTTTAATTATTATTATTTACGTACTTTGATTAACTTTTTAGTATTTTTACGATTTATTATTATTTTTTATTATTTTATTAAGTATTAAAACATTTCAATAGCAACAAGGGTATATTTGTCCAACACACACAATTAGTCCTATCAAAACATAGTTTACTGTTTGGTCCTATTTTTGCAAAGTGACCAGCTTTTAGTTCTGTTTTGCCAATTAATCCTTTTTCATTTTGTTCACCTCATATGAGGAACACTTATTGCAATTTATTTATAAATTAAAAGATTATATGAGTAATGTTTGGCAAAATATTATACGATATGTGGTAGTTAGTGGAAACAAATAAATGTTTCTCTTTATGCTGAGTTTTTAGGAGTAGTGGGAAAATAGTTTACCATCCAACCATAAGTGCTTCTTCAAAGACATTACAGACTCCCATTTATTGCTACTCAGTAGCAACTCGGTCAAGGGCCGAGTAGCGAGTAGGACCGAATACTCGGGGATAACTCGGCCCTATATTGCAGCTTTTAAAAAGTAGTCATATATTTACCTTTTTGCTATTTCTTTAGTCAAATCTATGTCAAAATTCCTTCTTCTGCACATATTGATGTATTCTGTGAAAAAAAATCCGCAAAACTTAAGGAAAACTCGAACATGCATACATACTCCGGGAAACCCGCCAATGATACCAGAAGATCTGTCCCAATCAAATTTGATGTCTGCAATTGATGGAGCTAGAGTTGTCTATTTTGATGGAAGATTGCATGAAACAGCTTTTGTTGTGGCAAAGGAGGTACATGACATTACACTGTATTGTCTTCGTGATTTTGTTTTTTAGCATTCTAATTTCTCTCTCTTATTTAGAGAATGCGTGTATATGGTAATTTAACATCAATTTTTCAGTTTTTATGATAGGAATGAATTCCATTGGGAAAATGGAAGTAAGTTGCAGGTATTCTTTTCTATTTCAGTGCAGGCTAGTACTAGGAGGATACCAATTTTAATTGATGCAGAAAGGATCAGGGAAGGGCTTGATGGTCTTTTGAACTTTGCTAGTTATGTTGTATGCTCAGCAGAGTTTCCACAGGCAAGCTTTTCAGATATGAGTACACTCAAATTTCCCTTCACTTTCTTGCAGCATATGCATTCCCTTACCTATTGAAACAAATAAAATGTTTTTAGTCTTTGCAGGCATGGAGCAATGCCCCTACTCTTCCAAGTGCACTTGTTTCCATGCTATTGAGATTGCCAAATCTAAAGTTTGTTGTTGTGACATTGGGTGAAGAGGGTTGCATTATGCTAGAAACGGCTGAACCTGGTACATTTATATACGCTTTTCTTCTTTCTATCAAATGCAACATCTGTATAAATTACTATGGTTGTTTTACTTTCCTGTAAATATATCTTCTTAAGATTCTTAAAGAAAATTATGCAGAGTCTGCCCAATTTGAAGAAATAGATGTAGATGACTTGTATGAAAGATTGAAGGAAAAGAAGGATGTGAATGTGACCATACCTACATGCATCACATCGGTATTATTATTTTTCCATTTGAAATAATCATTTTTTCACTAGGGTGTTTTTAATTGGACTGGGTGTTTTTATTGTTTTATGTGTTTTTAAATACGCATAAAACAAACACCTACCAGACCAAACATGTTCATACCATATCAAACCAGACTTAAGTAGACCAGAGTACTAGACCAGAACATAAAATTTAAGTCTAATTAAAAACATTCTCACAGCCGCATCTACACCTAGTCACCTTCATATGTTTGAACATGGTGATTACACGTGTTATTTTCTTTCTCAACTTGTACATGTGTAAAATATATGTATATTTTTATATATAGCACCCAACAAAACTGCAAGCAAAGGGAATAGGAACAATGAGCGGAAAACTACTTGTAGGAACAGCTGAGAAGATACCATCTTCTGAGCTAGTCGATACTACGGGTGCTGGAGATGCATTCATTGGAGCAGTACTTTACTGTATGTCTAAAATTATTTGTTCATATGGAGAATTGGAGACGTGTTATTTATCTAATATGCCACCATTCTGTGCAGCAATCTGTGCTGATATGCCGCCAGAGAAGATGTTGACATTTGCTGCTCAAGTGGTTAGTACAACCCATCTATTTCTTCCTTAGTTTATTTTCTCAACGGGCTATATGTTGGGGTTTCTAATGTGTGGGGGTAGCTTTGCAGGCTGCTATTGGTTGCAGATCTTTGGGCGCCCGAGCCGGCCTCCCATATCATGATGACCCTCGCTTGGCACCTTTTTTTAATTTATAGCTCCCATGATATTATAATAGTACGTAAAAATAAGAGGGTTGCACTTTTTCTTGCAGTGTTAAAAAACTCTGTTAAAATGAAGTGTTGAAATAGAGTGATCCAGATAATTAACTGCCCTGATCTTTTTATTGGGTTGGACATTATCATGATTCCGGAGTAGACCAAAACCTATGGGATAAAGGAACTTGAACTGCCACTGGCTTTTACTTTTTACAGTTCCAGACTAGAACTGGTTGCAGTTCCGAACTGGAACTGGTTGCAGTTCCAGTTCCTCCAAGGTGGGACGTGACCCAATTGGTTCCAATTTCATTTCTTCTATTTTTTAAAGGTCGCGTCAGCGAAAGGCACAATTCGAAACCTGGTCCGTAACAAGGACCAAGTTAACAACACAGATAAGGTCCACTTCCACCCTTTGGAATGGCCATGGTCCAAACGTAGTTTCTTGATGCAAATGTTAATCGATAAAGTCACACAACCATTAGTTCTTTCTAGACTTAGGCCTATGGTTTTCCGCTTCCAATTAATAACTGAACTTTTATGCCATTTTTGGTCCTTGCACGCACTTGTCTGATCTTTGGTCATTAGTCATTGCAGTATTGAGGACATCCTCATTAGTCATTACCTCCTCATATGTGACAGTTTAGAAAAAACCAGGGGATTTAGTTTGAACCTAAAGTTTGGGTGGCATGATCCTAGCGGTTGAAGTAATTAAGAGCTAAATGATATTGCGTCAAAACTTAAAGCAGGTGCTAATTCAGTCCATTTGAATACTCGCAATTTTTTACGGAGTAATGAATTAATCAAACCATCACACGTTCAATAACTTTTGGTAAGAAGATTACATAACTAAATAATCAGTGCCTTAACATTACATAACTCTCACATAATTCAAAATTTTTGGTGAAAAATAAGTGATTTTGGTTGGGCTATGTCCCCTTTTAGGTTCATTGAAATTCTTATTAGTATGAACTTTCAGTTATTTTGGTAGAAATTGGATATCATTTTTCCAATCCCTCAAATCTGTTTCCCGTAAGTAATAGCCATTTCGTTCTACAGAATTGAGGGTCTTTATATTAGTTCATTTGTGATGTACGTACTATTTTATGGCATGAAATGTAAGTAATGGTTATGATCAATTTGATTTAGGAGGGGAATGTGTATTTTTCAATAAATCCTCGCATTTCCTCCTTAACACTATAATTCTTACAAATGAATATTATATCAGTCCCGTTTCTATGTCCCATACACCTAGGGATGGACCGGTTCCGGTCTGCCCATCACTGTGCGGGACCGGCCCAGACCGGTTGCACGGGATCTGGTCCGGGCCTAGGACCTGACCTATGGGTGTTTTGGGGGCGCGCTCGGGCTGCAGGTTTCATTGGAATCGGCCTGACCGGTCCGAGCCATTTTTTTCAAAGTCTTTGGGTTGTAGGCAGGTTGGACTGGGTGTTTTGGAGGGGGTTTGGGATGGGGGGGGGGGGGTAGGAATTAATTGAAAAGCAAAAAAAAAACTGCTACCCGACCCGGTCCCGGTAGAATCCCGGGCCGGTTCTGGGCCTTAACCCCGAATACAAAAGTCCAATTTGGACCGGCCCGGAACCGGTCCATGCCTACATACACCACTCACACAGTTGACTCTATTTTGTTCATCACTTTTAGGGGGGAATAAATAAAATACCCCAAACTTTGAAAAGGTGTGAGATAAACACCCGAATTTTGATATATAATTTAAATACCCCAAACTTTATATAAAAAGTTATTTTAACACCATGGTTGTGTATTATTTCTTTCAAAAATGTAAATTTATTTTGTTAAATGCATAATTTAAAATAGCAAATTGAAAACATTAGAATTATATATAGTGGTGGGTAATATTATTTATTTTACAATGGAAGCTTAGAATGTTAATTGTATCTTTATGAATGCTAAAAATTATCTAATTATGAAATAAACACCAAAAATTAATATTTTTGAAAGAAATAATACATGACCATGATGCTAAAATAACTTTTATATAAAGTTTGGTGTATTTAAATTACATATGCAAGTTTGGGGTGCTTATCTCACACAGGGACGGATCCAGGATTTTGAGTCAAGGGGGAAGAACATTTTCGTTAGTGTAGGAGATAAAAAAATACATTAGTGTAGCGGGGCGATTTTTTTTGCTAGTGTAGCGGCGTGGTGAAATTTTTCACTAGTGTAAGGCTCTGCGGCTATTTTAATTCAAAAAAAATCATTAATACATGCATGATTACATTTAAATCTATATATTACATTCTAAGTTTAGACAATGATAAAATAACTTTAATTTTAAAATTGGAGTGCTCTAGAAAAAAGTATTGATAAATTAAAGCGTAAGAAATGGCAAATCAAAGGAAAATAATATAAAAATAAAAAATGATATATAACATTTTGTTTAAATATAAAGAGTTTATAAGGTACACATTCACCAATACTTTTAAAATAACTTCAACATTGTTTAACTACATGATCAGTCTTATAGAAATAAAAAATTGATTTTTGAATTACAATTTTTGTCTACTATACCATGGAGGGTGTTCATAAGTCATAAGGAGTTTTTTTAATATTACAATAGTATGTATGATATTATTATTTTTAGAATAATATTATATTCATAATTCATATATATATATATATATATAGTGCATATTATATTTGTATTAATGCTAAAATATTTAAAGTTTATTATCTATGCAATAAAGTCTTTTTAGAACGTAAGAAGTAAATGAATTGTGTAATTTAATGTCAATAAACATTTATAATTTTGATTCACTTCACATTATCTAAAAACTTTGTAGCTAGAGTGTCTGATATTTTATCATTTGATATATATTTTTCAAAATTATATTGTTTACTGGTTATCTAATAAAGATAATTAAACATAACAAAACTAATAATTTTTATATAATAAGTATCCTAAATCTTAAATAATGAGTTGTTCTATTGTTTATTTAAGTTATGTAAATGATTTTAGACGTTACTTCTTTTAAATCTCTAATTAAGTATTACATTATGTAAGACTATATATTAATTTTAAAAACTAAAAGTTAAGGGGGGCAATGTTAAAAAAAATTTAAGGGTGACGAATCTAATTAAAGTATCAAAATTTTACAAAAACATTACATATATAGTAGAAAATTTTGAAAGTCCAAACGCCCCACCTTAAATCTATCACTTATCTCACACCTCATCAAAGTTTAGGTTTTTTAATTATTTTTCCCTTAATTTTATATGGTCAGTTTAACCATTTTCAAATTTAAGTGTTGCAAAATAGTAGATCTTTTAGAGCTCGTAGAACTTGATTATGTAAACTTTTAATTACTAAAATCATATAGTAGTATATTTTATTTTATTAGAAAAGCGTTTACCTAAGATACGATAGCACGTAGTATATAAATTCATATTCTGTAACTATCAAATGACAGTATCTCATACATTAGCATAAATTGATGACTACTTGTTCTTTACCTTTTCAACATATTAACTATGCACAATGCTCACAATCCTAACTTTGAACCTCACAAGTTCATTGTCATCTAAATAAATTTTAGAGGTCGTGCTTTAAACGACAATCTGAGGCCATGTAGTACACGTAAAAATAGTACCGAGTATTATTATCGTAGTTTATCTTTTTGTCTTTTTATCTTTTTTATCTTTTGTCTATTTATCTTTTTGTCTTTTTATCTTTTTTATTCTCATATTGTTGTTGTTGTGGGACCACGTAAATGTGAGTCCTTGGTCCAAAAGGTTGAATGCCCACCCCAAGGCCCTCCACCCACTCCGATCGGACAGGATGGTGGGGAGGTTAATCACGGTTACTCAGTCAGCAAAACGGCGATAGACCTTATACACGTGTGCACCAGAGTTCCAGCTTTATTTCAGGTTCTGTAACCTTCACACGGCCGCTGCGGGTTTCGAACCTTGGTCACTTGGTGAGTCCTTATGCCAAGTACCTATTACACTTTTTAAATGCCATCATTGCATATGTTATATGTCTTTCATGCATTGCACAAGTTTGAAAGTCTAGTAATGATCCATTTATTTTGATTCATTTCACTACAAGATTAGACAAAATCAGATCAATGAGACATGATTATACGATACCAATTTGATAGTCCCTCTTAATATTCCTGTTGAGGTTTATTCCCATCAACCCGCAGGCCCAACGCGTAACCTGGGGGTTTCGAATGGGTGAAGGACAAATGAGATCACTAGACAACGGAGAGTGGGCCAATAACTGTATTTTATTCACCTCAACGATTACAAGCCGAAGGGCCGAACGTACTAAGCTATGCTATGAGTTGTTGCTGCTATTACAATCCTAGAGAGTCAAAATGTGAACCCCTTTCAATGAAATAAATGCGACTATTTATAGTACCCCATGGTGGTTGGGGGGCTGACGTGGCTGGCTGTGGGCGACATGATCCCAACCACCAAATCTCCCGCATTTAATGCGCTTCCCGCCAGGATCTTTGCTTCCCGCTATGATGTGGGGACGTTCGTCCCCCAGGCTGGACCCAGCCCTCTGGTGGCAGCTTGGACCCTTGGGTGGTAAACCACAAGACGTTCGTCCCCTGGCCCTTGGGCCCTGAAGCTTGGTCATGCGGGGCTACGTTCGCCCCTTGGTCCTTGGGCCCTGAAGCTTGGCTACGCTGAACTACGTACGTCCCCTAGTCCTTGGGCCCTGGAGTTTGGCTATGTTGGGCTACGTACGTCCCTAGGGGTTGATGGACTGGCCCTTGTTGGGCCATTAATCCAACACAAGTCCCCCACTTCTGATGTTCTGAGCGTGCGCGGGACATAAAGAAGTAAAATAACTTCCGTCATACCGCATTGAGCCGTTACTTTCCTTTCCCCGAAGTGACGGTTGCTTCCCCGTCGTTGTTCGCGGGGCTCTAAGTGCCAGCTATTAGGCCGGTTCAACTTCCGACGCAAAAGTAATCATTTCGTACCTGTCCGTCTCTACGTGACACGCGTCCCTGGGTACGCTCCTTGCCACATGTCACCTGCGGGTTGGCCACTGAACTGGTGCCTCCCCTTAAAAATACTGGGATCACAGGAATGGTTAGGGCTTTCCATCCTTTGCTTCCTTCCAATTTCCCAGTGCCGTCCAGCGAATGTCTCTAGTTTCCGCGTTCATCCCTCTTCCAAGGTTCCGCAAGGTAATTCTTCGACCCAAC